TTCCTTCCCAGCAGCAGAGAGCTGTTTCCTCGTTGTCTCTCTATCACAATCTAGCACGAGATGTTTCCATTCATTAATCTTGAGTCTGTAATGTTACCCATCCTGCAGCTGTATCTTCAAGTCTTTCCCCAATGTTCCCCTTGCCAGGCCTTCTCTTCCAAAGCCCACTACACCTTGTGCCAAGACCTAGTCTCATATCAGGCCTCTGGGAGTTCCTGGAGCATGCTGTTAAAAATGTTATCATTAGCCTGATAATTCAATGCCTCCCCAAATCGAGAATTGACCCACAATCAATAAACATTAAAGTCTTTGGAGAAGGACCCTAACAAACCAAAAATAGGAAAAGGTGTGATTTTCTAGGCTTCTTTTATAGTTGACTTTTCCTCAAGGAGAATGTAAGCAAGATAACTTGCTTTGAATTGAAATACGATTCTTCATGGCAAATGGTTATTTATATGAGCCTTGCTTCCCAAAATCTCATTAGAACAGAAATTACTACAATATCCTCACTTAGCCTTTCTTAGCCTGACACCTCTTCCAGCAGAAAAGACTGATTTGTGGTGATTATAAATGGCATAAATGGTATAAATTTCCAGTTTGCCCCATGTCTTGGCTGAGTATGGTCCCTAAGCTGGAAAAATCCCTAAAGAACTCATAGCTTTTTGCACAAGGTGGCCTTCAGCATGAAGAGGTTCATGCAGAGGAAAAATGAACAAAGCACCAACAGCATCTGCCACAATGGAGATTTGAATACATAAGTGACTAAAATGTGACTGAATAATTTGATTTTGGTCTTTTGATTGCAAGGAAAGAAGGCACACTTGAGCTAAAGTTAAATTTATTGTAAAGATACCAACAGGTTTCTGGGTTTACAAGTAGAGAAACCAAAGTAATGTCAAATCTAAAGGAAACTGTAACAAGCCCTTAAGAAATAATGTAGCTGCTTGATCCCTTTCATGGGCCAAGAATTGTATCTGTAGATGCCTGGGTCTTTTTTCATTATAGTCATCTGTAATTCTAAAATCCTTTCCATCTGTAATTTCATATCTTTCTTTGGTTCAGGAAAATTAATTTTTTAATTGTAATTTTTTTCTTCCATTTGTGCCTTTTCCTCCTTCTGGGATTCCTGTTATTTATAAGTTGGGGCTTCTAGATTTATACTCCAACTCTCTTACTCTAGAACAAGATTCTTTAAACCTCCATCTTCCCAGGTTCTCTCATCTACCCTCTCCAAACTATTAGTAATATGTCACTTATAGTTGGAAATACTACAGAATTTGAATAAGGTCATCTTCCAGTAGTACTTAATAGCAAAACACTCTTAATTTACTATGATAATTGCATAATTAAAAAGATAAAAGAATACCAACAATAAGCAAATATGGAAATTAGTAAAGGATGGCACAAATATAGCAAGTATAAAATTAAATATTAATGTGCTAAATTATCCATAAAAAAGTTTCCTCTGAATTTCTTTTGGAACAAAACATTACCCCCACCACTTTTCAAATAATGCAAGCTGTACAAAACACATTAATCAATATGTATCATTAATCACAAAGTAAATATAGAATATTTTTAGCTATGTGTCAGAAAATCTTTAAGTGCCAGAGTCTAGAATCAGCTCCTTTCACTGATTTTCCCCCTACAACTAAAGACTGGTGACTCTAGGAGAGAATAAGGGGAAATGAGAAAGAATGCTTTCTCCTCTGAGTGTTCATTCTTTAGAATTAAAGAAACTCAAGTTAATAGTTAAGCATCATAGTCAAAAGCAACTAGGAAAACACCTAAACTTTTCATTGGTAAACATTTTTAATAGGAAAGCTGCTAGAATATTTTTAATTTGCTCATTTCATTGCTAAAAAACATCATTTAGGTGAATAGTAAATTTCAGAAAATAATTAGGCACTTTACACAATGAGAACATCTGCAGTCACCCCAGGAGCAATGAAATTACGGGGCTATCAATCCTGTGCTTCAGGGCACATTTCCTATAGTATTTTTTTATAATATCATCAGTTACACTCAGATGTTTATTTTCCTTTAAATACAACCCATTGAGGGGATTTAAAGTACATTATGACCAAATAGTATAACAGGAAGGTAAAAATTTCCAAAGGTTTACAAAAATATTTTAGAGGAATTAACTGAAGAAAAATAATAAATTTTGGGGGCAGGTTAAGAACAATATTACTTCATTTGGGTGTATTTTTTCACACACAGAGACTGACAGAGTAGAACTCAGAATTTTTTAAAAGAATGAATGAACAAATAATGAACGAACAAAGAAACAAACTTACATGTACCTGGGTTCAAATCCCAGCCTCACCAATATTGACCTTGAGTACTTTGCTAATCCTCAGTTTACTCATCTTTAAAATGAGGTAAGTGTACCCATCTCTTCTTGTTATTACAGGATTTAACTAAGTAATGTGTGTTAATGAATAAATTCAGTGCCCGGAACAGAGTGAACACTCAACAAATAACAGTCATTTTAAGAGCTTTCTTGGGATTGATTTAGCTAATTTTTGATAAAATGGATCTAACAATTAAATAGTCTCAGTATACTTCATAATAGAGCAAATATTTGTATGTTGCCTATATTATACTGTATTCTATTGAGTCTCTGTGAAACCAATAGTATATTATACTACAGACATTCCCTAAGGCTATCCTTTATTTGGAACTAAGCATACCTTTTCTGCTGATAAGCAGACCTCTTAGATGGTGTCTTTGATAGACCTCTCAGACAGTTTGTTTCGGCCGCGATAACAAAATACCATAGATTTAGTAGCCCATAAACAACAAAAATTTATTTCTCACAGTTCTGGAAGCTGGGAAATAAAAGATCAAGGTGCCAGCAGATTTGGTATCTCATGAGGGACAGCTTCCTCGTTTGGTAGAAGGGAGCAAGGAAGCTTTCTGTGCCACTCTTGTGAGAGCACTAATCCCCTCCCGAAGGCCCCGCCCACCTTCTAATACCATCATCTTGGGGGTTAGGAGTTCAAGTAATGAATTATGGAGAGACATAAATATTCAACCTATAGCAGATAATTTACTGTGATAAGCAAAGTTCAAACTCATAAAAAGAGTAGCAGCTGCTGACATTGAAAGGTCCAAAGCCCTGGCCCAAGGCTATGTGACTTTTGACCAAATGCATACAATCATCTTGGAAAGGATTGTGAATTGTGAATGGTACTAATATTTCTAACAGTTTCTTAACAACTACCTACTTGTTGTCAGCGATTCTCTTGGGACCCCTAAATTAGATGTACCTTGCAGATACAGATGTCCCAAACCCACATGAAGAAATTCTATGTAAACAGAGTACATATGCCTTTGAATTCTCTGGACCTGACTATTTAAAAGCCAAGTTAAAAATAAATTGTATAGCATTTGTGATTAGTGTAACTTTAAATAATGAGAATATTTCCCCCAAACAGTGATCAAGTGCTGTTTTCATTGAAGAAAATGTTGGAAAAATAACCTAGCTTATTGGACTGTTTCTCCAAGGGCAGGGTTATAAAAAGCCTATTTTTTTTTTCCTGGGAAGTAAAGTGGTTTTAAATTATAAATGTAGCTGCATATAACCAAATTATCTCTTTTTTGGAAGATGGAAAATGGGAGTATTTTTTAGAATTTAGAAAAAGTTTTTGTCATTTATTTCAGAAATCATTCAGCAAAAGACAGCCATGTACTATTTCAAATAAGTTACTAGCAATTCAAAATGTCACTTGACTCAAAGTTTTCTGTTTTCTTCCCCTTATTATCAACTCAACCATTCCGCAGGCAAGGGACAGGACCAGCTATCTCCAGAAACATTTGGGGAGAGGAAGAAGGGTGCCTGATATGTGAGGACTAACACCAGAACTCCCTACATCCCCTTCCCATCACCTTCACTTAAGAAAACAGAAAGAACCCACCCACCATTCTGAAACTAGGGTAAATGCTCAGGCCATGTGACACTGAATAACGCTGATTGGAGTCAAATATTGAGACTCCACAGCGACACAGTGATTTATCAGGAGCTCGTTATTGAAGAATGGGCGCTCAGAAACGGGCAACCCATTCCTACGGTCCTGCTGGCCTTGTGAAAGCTTGACCAGATGCAGAAAGCGGCATGAGAACACGGCTTTGGGAGGCAGGGACAGTGAAAATGGTACAGAGGCACGTTCAACCTATACCTTAAGAAGCCTCTGTGCCCAGCCTGAATTTAAAGCGGGAAATGAAGGAGCATAGATTTAAACTAATATAATGAACCTTTACTTCGGTCACCTAGTTTAAATCTCTAGGAAGTCGATATTATTAGACACCAGGGACTGAGGGTGAAAGAATGGAAGAGACTGGAACAGACTCTTGCCTCCAGGCGCTGTCAGACTCCCAGGATGGGGAAGCGCCTGGGGCAGGCTTTAGTGGGTTCATGATGGGGACAAAAGCCTGGCTGCCATACAGAAACCTGGGCATGAGTGAGGGCCTGCCAAGGCTGCCAGCAGCGGAAGAGGGTGGTGGTGGAGGGGGGAGAAGGCGAAGGGGGGTATCTGTTGTGGTCGGCGGGGAGATCATAGATGGAAGGCAAACGCAGATTGTTGGAGAGAAGGACCAGCCTCCTCCGCCAGCCCACTCGCTGTGTGGAAGGGTTTCTCACGCCCCCTCTCCTGGATGACTGCACCGGATCCCGGTCGGAAGAAAGCGGGGCGAGGATGAGTCATACCGCCTAATTCCTCCTTCCGAGTCCCCTCGCCAACGCGCGCCGGCCCCCACCCGATACCGTGCAGCCGGGATCTCAGACTTCCCTCGTCCTCGGAGTCCTCCACCAAACCCCCCGTAGCCTGCGGAGACAAGAGAAAGACGGGGCGTTTCGCCAATAAGAGCTCCGCTTTCTCTGCTGCCGCCCAATAGGCCACTGTTTACAGGCGGGGGCGGGACTAGGAGGGCAGAGGGGGCGGTCCCGGGCTGGCGCTCGGCGCCGCGACGCCGTGGCTCACGGAAGAGCGCCTCACTCACCCGGAGTCTGCGTCTGGGCGACGCGGGAAGGCTCTGCTGCGACCGCAGCCGCCGACGCTGGCCAAGGTGCTGGACGAGACAGACCGACTGCCACTCCGCCAGTTCAGCCACCCGTTGCAGCCGCAGCTGTCTCGCTTCCATCCGGGTCTCCATGGAAGAGATGGAAGAAGAGTTAAAATGCCCCGTGTGCGGGTCCTTCTATCGGGAGCCCATCATCCTGCCCTGCTCCCACAATTTATGTCAGGCGTGCGCCCGCAACATCCTGGTTCAAACCCCGGAGTCTGAGTCCCCCCAGAGCCGTCGGGCCTCGGGCTCCGGGGTCTCTGACTATGACTACCTGGACCTGGACAAGATGAGCCTGTACAGCGAAGCGGACAGTGGCTATGGCTCCTACGGAGGTTTTGCCAGCGCCCCCACTACCCCGTGCCAGAAATCCCCCAACGGCGTCCGCGTGTTTCCCCCAGCTATGCCGCCACCGGCCACCCACCTGTCACCGGCCTTGGCCCCGGTGCCCCGTAACTCCTGTATCACCTGTCCCCAGTGCCACCGCAGCCTCATCCTGGATGACCGGGGTCTCCGCGGCTTCCCCAAGAACCGCGTCCTGGAAGGGGTAATTGACCGCTACCAGCAGAGCAAAGCCGCGGCCCTCAAGTGCCAGCTCTGCGAGAAGGCTCCCAAGGAGGCTACCGTTATGTGCGAACAGTGCGATGTCTTCTACTGCGATCCGTGCCGTCTTCGCTGCCACCCGCCCAGGGGTCCCCTAGCCAAGCATCGCCTGGTGCCCCCGGCCCAAGGCCGTGTGAGCCGGAGGCTGAGCCCGCGCAAAGTCTCCACTTGTACAGACCACGAGCTGGAGAACCACAGCATGTACTGCGTGCAGTGCAAGATGCCCGTGTGCTATCAGTGCTTGGAGGAGGGCAAACACTCCAGCCATGAAGTCAAGGCTCTGGGGGCCATGTGGAAACTACACAAGGTGAGTCCTAAGAAAACCCATCCCTGACTCCCCGCACCTCCAATCTTCCGGGTCTGCAGCAGACAGCCCTCATCTTTTGCGCACAGTGCATCCCAGCGGGGGCGCAATGCAGGTGCCTAAAATATTTGCTTCCCCTGTCTGGTGCATTGCAGGAAGCGCAGGGAGATCTTAGACGGTGCACCAGGGAGTTGACTATCCCCAGAGAGCTGTTGCGGGGATGCTTAAAGCGGGTCTCCCTGGGAGCGCTGGGAGCCAGGAGCAGGGCGCCCCCACTTCGCTGCAGATATGTAGCTTGCGGTTGTGGCCAGCACTGCGTAAGTGGGCAGAGCAGCACCAGTGCCGAGGACCGCCAGGGCCCCTCCGGGGCAGCGCCGGCTCTGGAGCTCTGGCCCCGGACCCCGGGGAGGAGGCGGAGGCTGTTGAGTTGCGAGGACTGCCAGGGGCTGGAGCTCCTGGATAGGCAGGCGCTGTGAGTCACTGTGTGGGCGGGAGAAACGCCGCGGGCGGAATACTGATGAGTCCACGCTGGCCCAGACCCCGCGAACCCTCTGGAGGGGCTGCGGATCCTGCTGCTTTGAACTCAGGAGACAGAGGAGTATGGTGGGGGAAACTCTATGGTCGCCTTGGCAACTTGGCTTGGAGGCTTAGATCTTGACCCTTCCCAGACGACTTATAGCTGAAGGAGCAGGACCTGAGGTTTCAGTGCAGTCGAGGCCTGAAGGCTAGGCAAGCGTGTAACCCCTTCCCCCCAAACACCCACACACCCATTTGTCCAGGATTCAATCCTTTTCTTCTTTCAGTAGTTGTGGGTGCAAACTTTGAAGCACCTGTTACCAGATTTCCGGTCCTGGTCTCTTTTGATGGCGCTTCCACCAAAGCTAGCCTCGGTGTTAAGTCATGCCACTTCGCTGCTCAGAATCCACCAATTGCCCCCCACGTTTCTCATACAATCCTTAGAATGGTCCACCAGGTCTTCATGACCTGTTCCCCTTTGGCCTCATCGACCTCATTCCCTGCCACTCATTCCCTCTGCTCCAGCCACAATGTCCCTCTTGCTGTTCCTCAGCCAAGCCCTTCTGCCCCAGTGCCTTAGCATTTGATGATCCCTCAACCTAGAATGCCCTTCCCAAAAATTCTACACACATATTGAAGAGGCTCACTTTCTTGCCTCCTTCAGATCTTTGCTCAGATGTCATCTTTGCAGGGAGATCTTCCTGACCACCATTTGCTGCCACTCATTTCAGATACCCCTTGTTTTCCTCCCTACTTTATTGTTCTCAGTAATAGTTATCACTGTCTGGCATGCTATATATTTTAATGATGTTACTTTTGTCTATCTATTGCTTCCCTCCCCCCACACTCTAGAAAATAAGCCTCAACAGTAAATAGATCTTTATAATGCTGTCCACAGGGCTTAGAAGGAAGGGAAACATTCTTGAGGAGATGTACATAAATTGACTTCTACTTTTTAAGTAGTCCACTTCGTTGGGGTGTGAAGAGCAGGGCAGATTGTTATAGGAGGGGTTTCTTCACATCATTTAGTTGCAAGCCCAAAGATAAGGCAGGGCCCAAAGATGGTGGTTAGTCCTCAGCTATGCCTCCATTCAGGGTTTCCCAGCATTCCTGGGAGATTGGCCTTTGAGAGGCCATTGGTATTTTATTTACAGAGAGAATTTTAAAAGTCACCACTTTCAGCAATCAGGGAGGGTTTCTCAACTCCATATTGATCTAATGCAATGAATATTTACAGTCATTTGTAAATTCAGATTGCATTCCATATATGTTCTTACATATAACCTGTTAAACCATATTAGTCCTGATGGAGATCTAATTTAGAACAAATTTGAACCCCATGTGGCACATGCCATTTTGAAAGTGCTTCAATTTAAATGTTTTTAAATGAAAATTTTGAAAGTTTTCAAAAATTTAGTTAACAGCCAGTTTTTATTTCCTTTTGTGATTTCATTCTTGAACTGCCAACTATGTTGTATTGCCTTATAAAACTTGGTACTAAGAAATTAATCACCCTTTCTGGAAGAAAGAACTTAAGCCATACACTAATTAGGATGGTCAAACCATAGCATTATTTTTTTCTACGAACAAGAGCCTATACTTTATCCAATAAGACTAAGAGCAACCTGTAAATCTGCCTATCCCTGTGTAGATTTCAAATGTTACACTATCTGTTTCATCAGTAATGGAAGCTGTGAATAGAAACTGTGATGGGGCCTGGGCTGGTATTTGGATGTCTGCTAAAAAAGAATACGTTAAAGTCCTTGAGATTTGACATAAGAATGCTAGGAAGGGAATGTTGGTTACTTTTCTTAAAAAAAAAAAGATAATTTCTTCTCTAATCTTATGCAGATTTTTTCCAAAATAGTAAGCAAATATAATTTTGTTCAGTCAATGCCAGTATTATTAAACTGCCAAGAAAAAATAAGGCAGAAGGATGACAGATTTTAACTTTCATTTACCATCTGTTGATGAACAACAAACATTACTCCCCCACCCTATCTCTTTAATAAGGTAGTTAAAATGTTAACACTTTGTTTTTCTCATACAGTCTATTTATGTTCTAGTTAATGATACCTTTATTCTCACAAAAAGGTCATGGACCAAAATTTCTATGCTCTTTAAAACATAGCAGAGCAAAGAATCACACGGAGTAACTCTTTCAAAGTTGGACAGGTAGTTATCTACACCGGTAGATTACTCGATCTGAAAGTTTTCATTAATAGTCTGCTATATTAAACAGCCATTTCCAGTGATAAAGAAAATCTGTGAATAAATATTTTCCTTGGGCATTAAGTTATTATCTTACACACTCAAGACAAAATGACTAGTTTTTTAAGTGGTTTTAAAAACAACTAGTTAAACTTCACTAGTCGTCAACTGATCAAATTAAAGTACTTTTTGGTATATACGACCTTTAAAATCCATGAAAAATAATGCATAAAGTGGTTTTACAAGATAAAATCTGGTAACAGGTTTTATTTAGTATCATCACTTGCTATATATGGTTGGGTTTTTTTAGCCAACTCAGGTTGATATAAAGAATTGTTTCACAAAAAAATGATTTTGTAGAAATTGGAATCATTACTTATTACTTTATAATTTTAGCAATTCACATTCCTAAATCTAGCATTCTTGAATTCCTCACGTTTTATCAGTTATTGAATCAGTAATATATTTATGGCCATTCTTTTGTGTTTGTACTGTTAAGCAAGGATTTTTTGTTTTTGCTTCGTATCCTAAATACTGACTATTCATTCTGAATTTCTTTAAAGATTTATTTATTTGTTTGTTTATTTATTTATTTATTTTTAGAGAGAGGGGAAGGGAGGGAGAAAGAGAGGGAGGGAAATATCAATGTGTGGTTGCCTCTCTCACTCCCCCACTGAGGACCTGGCCTGTAACCCAGGCATGTGCCCTGACTGGGAATCAAACCTGCGGCCCTTTGGTCTGCAGCTCACACTTAATCCACTGAGTTACTCCAGCCAGGGCACATTCTGAATTTTATCTCAATGTTATTTTATACCTTCTTTTTGTTGATGAAGATTTGCAATTTAAAAAACACCTAAAGTACACAGTTGTTATGCTTTGATTTTCAAAGTATTTTGGAAAAAATATCTGCTCCGTAATATGGTGACATCTCATCACATATTTATGTAGCAAAATGTGTTATTTAATGTAACTAAATGACATTCAGTTAACTCTATATCAGCAGTAAGCATGATATGATCTAAGATGATCCCCCAGCTTGGAGAGCTTTGCTTGCTTCTTTTGGAGCACAGAGTGCAGCCCAAAGGCCCCTCTGGACATTGGCCTGAAAGAGTGAGCCGAATTGTGATAGGTCCAGAGAGAATACTCAGTTGAATCAGGCTCAGGGTTCTTTCTATAAGGACATTACACAAAGGTTTATGTACATAAATGAAGGTATTTTGTTATTCAATGACAGAGCTAAAATGGTAACTGATATGACATTTTTTTCAGATATTATTATTACTTTGAACAATTAGAAGTTGTTTTTTCTGTATGTGCCAAGAAAACATGCTATTAATTGGAATTCAGGGTCAAATCACAGTTTGCATAAGTAAGAGAAAATTATTATATCCTTCTGTTATTAATAAGATAATGCACAAAAATTACCTTTACTATCAGTATAAGAAACTACACTTCTCTCACACCTAAACACTTTTCAAACTGTGTATAACTGAACCTTGGTACAGAGGATAGAACTCATTATAAGATAAATGTTTAAGAACAAAATAGTTTTAAACCTACTATTGTAAAACCAATAATTTTACAACCAACAAAAAATTGTTGGTTGTAAGCCTGCTTAGGTGATCTCAGAGGAATTTCATGGGAAATGAAACAAAATCAACTCCCAAGGAGAATGGAACTGGAAAGCTAGAAACTAAGTTCACTCTGTGTATTTGTCAGCTTGGACTAAGTTATTTGTAGTAACAATTTCCAAATCTCAGCGAAGTACAACACAGCATCTGATTTCTTACTCATGTCAATGCTCACTGAGAGTCAGCAGTGGCCCACCTCCACATCCTTCTTATTCTTGAACTCAGGCTGAAAGGACATATTTGAGGTATGCCAAACTTACAGCAGAGGAAGGAGAGCAAAGCAGAACCTCTCAATGACACTTAAAGAGCCTACTCAGATATAACATTGTCTTTCCTGCTTACATTCCATTGGCTGAAACCAGTCATGTGGTCAAACCCGTTATTCAAGTTGTAGGAAACACACTCTTCCAACAGAGAGAGGCACCAGAAATGAGTCCTATAGAGGTGGGCAGAGAACATTTTGAACAAATAATGCAATTTGCCACATGCTTAACTCTGTTATCTCTACTGCTCTTTCTCAGGATGGGGTTCTTGGCCTGCCCAAGGCCGTACATGACTACTCCACCCCCCAACTCAGCAGGACATTTCAGTTCAAGTGTTCACTGTCATCTAACTAGCATCTCTGTGTCTCTGAGTTCACATTTT